CCGTTAAAGCACGGAAGTTTGGTTCCAGGAATTCGAGGAGCGGTGTTGACGTCTGCTGCAGAATGTGTAGGGGTAAGATGTGTAAGAGTTCTGTCCTCTTGTTGTTCAGCAAGATATAAGTTCGTGTGAGTCAGTCCTGCAATATAGAAAATCTTACTTCTGAATTAATTCATTTCGACTGAAGGGGATTCCAGTTGATTTTGTCTAAAAGGACCGCGAACCGAATAAAATCAGTGAAATTTGTGGCTCCTAGTAGCAACCGTAAATAGTAGAATCTTAACATTTTACATTCGAAACGAAACCTGTATCAGATCTAGCGTCATTAAAAACGGCGCAGTTTATGGCAATAGTCTTGAATAGAGATTTAACACCTCTTAGATGGTAAGACTGCCAATGGACCCCATATTTAGGTTTGCTTACGAAAGTACCGAACTGCGCCATAGTTCTTTTTTGGTTTAACGGTTTACTGCTGAACCTGAGCGGGAGTAACCCCCCCCCCACCTACGGAACGCCTCCGAGGCTTGATAGTTCCCACTACGACGCAGTGGTGATCTCAAAACGCAAATGTGATGTCCTTGTCCACCATTAGACTGTGTGGGTGAGTGGGCCGCTGGGCCAGGAGTACGTTTGCATGACGACGAGCCTCCACAAGGGGAGAAGGGCTAAACGCCTAAGGGATGAACGGGGCTGAGCGATGGGGGGAGCTTACCAAGGCTCTCACATTGATAATGAAAGCCCGCCTGGAAATTGGAAGGTCCACAGGCTTGATGACAGTGCCCTCATTCATCTCCTTTCATCTATCGCCCGAAATCCGGCTGGGCCACAGTGTCGTCTAGTAATTACGACATTGGTCCAGAGGGGCAAGAAAGCGGATCGCGCGGTTGCAGACACAGACGACTTAGATGCTAATCTTATTGGCAAGCTGAATTATCTCGACGTATGTCAATAGATTGCCCCCAGCACAGAAAAAGATTAACAATTTTGCTGTCTAGAGCTCGTATCCTGGTGGTGCAGGTGGTGGTGGTGGCGGCGGCGGCGGAGCAAAATAGGGATTAACCTCTGCACATAGATTCGTTTTTAACCAAATCTAATTTAACTCCCGGCTCCTGGTGGGGCCTCGTAGTTGAGGTGGCTAGAGCGTTGGCCGTACTCAAGCCTTGTCCTTGCTATCATGGGTCGGACTGCCGCCGAAGCCGACGAATTTTTCACACCTGGGTCTACTGAAATATTCAAATCTGCCAAAACACTAATAGACCATGATTTATCATGGTCATGCAGTGTTTCGTGCCACCAGTCTCGTAATTCATATTATTACGCCCTTTCCAGACAACCACTGGGACAGGGGGAGGGGGAGGTTGAGTGGGAAGTTGGGCCTTGTCCGCTATAAAAATTCTTCCGTCGACAGATTGCACACCCTGATATGATAGGGAAGGGTGTCAGGGTCGAGCAGAGAGGGGGGGGGGAGACACCAACATCCGAACCCATTTATGAAAGGGAGGAAGGGTAACACCCACATGCCCGGGCGACCCCTGTTTGGATACCCTTGTGAGATTTCCTAGGTTTACGATGAGGCAACTTGGACGTGCCGATCGAGCAGGGGTTATCACTTGCTCTGCTCCCCGGCCCCGCTGTCGCCCCTTGGCCGTCAACTCAACGGCATTCATAACTGCCTCAGATGTCTCGGCCGATTTCCCCTCCCTCCCCCCTTTGTGCTGATGGGGTGGCTAAGAGCTAGGGGCGAGTGCTTGATGCGTCATCGCTGCGGTGGCAGCGGTGTTCGTTAGGGAACACCGCGCACATCTGTCCCGTGGCGAACGGCACCGTCAAATGAGGCCAGACGCGCAAATGTGAGGCCTCAGGAAGTGGAACCACAACACGCCTAGAGCGAGCCTCTCAACTAGTAGCAGCTCGGAGGGCCAAAACGAATCACCTAGCCGATATCCTTAGGAGGTTGGGCGTCCTCGCCACAGATAGCGCTATTTGAAGGCTGCGGGCACAGTATATCAGGTTCCCTGCTCCATAAGTTGCCATTCGGAAGGAGAGATTAGAAGATACTGCGGTAAAATACTTGGCCGAAAAAGGGATAAATGAAGCATTTCTGTCTCAGAACAATCGAACCGACGGACCAACCAATGGGTGCATTTAAAACCAAATAATGTATTGTTTGTTCGTGGTGGACATGAGCTGTCCGGTGAAAACTACATGACGTCAGCGTCCATACCGATTTGACCGCTTCCTGCCAAGCAGTCTTAAACTGTGACTTAGATGCCGACGTTTGCTCGGGATTTTGAGAAGGAAGAAATAGGGTACGGGGTTTCTTGTTAAAGTTCAGTGTTTGAGAGGTAATATGGAATCATACAATTAAAGCTAAGCTTCGGACGGCGCGGGCGCCAATTTCTACCTTCAGCCTACTCAAAACACAACAAACTTTCGATCAGTGTTCATGAACTAAGAGAAAATAAGTGACAGCTTCAGGAATCTCAAATAATGGCTCTTCTCAATCGAGACAATCTTCAAACAGGTGAACGTCTCAGGGGTCGTGCTGCTTTCAGAGATAAAAGGTGGAAATACTATTGAAATGAAAGACACTGCTATCTCCCATCATAGGAGTCGTGCGCAATCTCAAGCTTCAGCAACCTAAATTATACCCTCTGAGTATTCATTGAGAATAAAACTCTGACTGCGTCCCAAGGCTCTCACAAAGCCACTCCAATAGAAAGATCGGAGTTCACAATGTTCGATCCGGTTGAGCAGTCAACCG